CTCTCTCTCTCTCTCTCTCTCTCTCTCTCTCTCTCTCTCTCTCTCTCTCTCTCTCTCCCTATGTGAGTGTGTGTGTGTGCGTCTAGCTATCTGTTTATCTGTCTATCTAGAGACAATTATTCTATACATACACACACACACGCACACACACAGCGCACACACACACATATATATACATATGTGTGTGTGAAGAAATGGCATTTCCCTGATTAATATCAGCTACGAACATTTCCCAGGAAACAGCTGTCCATGACACTACACGTGAAATGCTGCTTCATAACTTCATACCCATCTTACTATATTGAGTTAATGCTTCCATAATGGTAAGCTAACAGGAAATTTACAATTTATAAAATACATTAACCTTACCACAAACGCATGCACACACACACACACACGTGTGTGTGTGTGACACCAGTGACTACGAATCTGGTATGCCACAGTTTTTTTTTTCTTGAATAGCGGACCCGCCGATATCTATTTGCTGGAAAACGAAAAAAGTGAAAATCTCGAATCTTTTTTATTCTAATTCCCCGCCGATATTAAATAAATACAAATCAATTTGTCTATGATTCACTGTGTATGGTATCGTTTCTCCCGTCCTCAAAACAAAAATATAATATATTTGGCGGAAATACATTACTCTCATGTGTCATGCCATGCCTATGGACTATCGTGAAGATTTTTTATTTTGATTTCCAAAACAATAAATTCTGGGTGAAAGAATTCTTTGTCTGTTTTCATTCAACTCCTCGAAGACTTGTAGTAAGAGAGAATTGTACTTCCTCCATGTGGAGCTGGAACTGATACATCCCTTTATCTCTGATCTTTGGAAGGTCGGAGGTACACTTGTCTTATTTTGGAGCTGTGGATTTTTTTTTCCGCCGACATTTCATCACCAGACTTGCCCGCTACTCAAGAAAAAAAAATGCTGTGGCCTGAAACTATAAGAAAAAAACGAAAAGACTCCCTTCTTTTCCCTGATTTACCTTCGATATTTTCCTCAACTTGGTTCAAACAGGTGGATGATTGCCGCCGCTACCTGTCTCCTTTCAGTCTCAGTGAAGAACTGCCAATAACCTCATTTTCACTTATTTTCCTACTAATTATTTAGTGCTTTCTCAACACTGTATAAATCCCCTTGACTTTATTTTCGTGTATTGTTTTAAAGAAATCTAATGAAAATCAAAAGTGAGACCCGTAGTGTTAAAATAATTAGTCTAGGAAAACAGCCTTGAGTTTTTTCTATCGTTATCTACCCACGTCGACCAAAGAATTCGAGCTTGAAAGAAAATTAGGTAATACATGATAGACCCGATCTTTAATAGATTTTCAGTAATCCGACATTCGAAATTATAATTCATCTAATTACTTAATGCATATAGATCATAAATAGTTATTTAATTATTTCTAATTTGATAAACTACGTAAGATAACGATCAAACTTAATAACTAGATATTGTCATCTCCAAGATAAGATATAAAAAAAGAGCTAAGACATCAAGCCAATTCATTCAGTCCTCCAAGGATCCATGACCATTCCTTTCCGTAGGTAAAGCTTACTCTTCAAAAGTTTTCCTCAGGGGTGATGTGGTTCAACCATTTTCTTGAAAGCTTTTCGTAAACAAACCAAAGCTGGCCGCCAATTTTCCTATTTACGGACAGAAAAATACAATCTTTGCTCACTTTCCCACAGCCTATGTATGTTTTGGTTCGTCACGTACCTTATTCTTCGCTGCATTTATGAAATTCTAGGGAGATTGACTTTCATATACAGTTACAAACACTAAATAGAGAGTGAAACTATTTGTTGACTTCATAGAAAACGTCATTAGTCGGATTCAAAGAAAACGGAGGAAATTCTGGGGAAACTAGGTCGAGATAACAAAATTAATTTGTATAGTCATTTTTTTATAATGATAAAGCATTATCATACAGTCAGTTCAGTTACTACTTCGTTTAGAATATTCTGATATTGATTTCTAAACTAAATTTTAAGTTATAATGACGCATAATTAGAAGAGTTGAAAAATACTGACATCATAAATATACATATACAACAAATTCTCACATTCATGATATTTAACACCGAATAAGAAATATTTTTTTGAATTTTGAGTTTCTGAAATAGAAAGAGACAATTATGTTGTGTGAAATAACATCAACTCAATATGCATATCCGCATTTACACTCCCACAGGAAGGTCTTTCCCGTACATGACTATTTTACAACGCAGGAAACAAATTTCACATTAAGGTTAAGTATATACATCTAACATTTAGCAAAAGAATAACGCAAACAAGAAAGGTTACATGGTTATTAACCAAAATCAAAGAGCAATATGATGAATGATAATATTAATGATAAACATTACACACTTGCAAATTATTTGCGTTATCCCTCAAGAAATTAACAGAAAATGAGAGGCCTAGAAAACGTTCGTTTTTTTATTATTATTGACTGACGTTCCACACAAAGAAAACATTGCACAACGTTTTACATTCTGCAGAACGTTGCGCCATAGACGGCTGACGTAAAGAAAAATTCGGTCATCTACCCACACACACTTATGTGTTTGTGGCTGTTTCTTGTCAACGCTCACACATAACCAGTGTATCGGTAAAGTTGCGTCATAGGTATTCTAGTACCGGTTATTACTATTCAGATATAACGATAACAATTTGAATGTAAAACAGTAACAGGGATTCTTCATATACCATGTGACCAAAACAAGTAAGTGACACCCAGTAGCCGATTAACAGTAAATCCACGCTCAGTACAAAGAAAAATTAAATCAACTAAACATCTAAAAACTCATTAAATTCTTGTGTTTGAAATAAAAGAACATAAACTGTTTTAAAAATGGTTCCTGGGGTTGAAAAGGAATTAATTAACCCGTTTAAAAATGAAATAAACCTCTTTAAAAATGTTTTTTGGTTTTAGGACTCCCCAGGATTTGAAATTGGCGCCCGAGCAGACGACCACCTGCGCGCACTCCCTTGGCAGCGACGTCGTCAGTCTGTCAATACTCTCGTGCTGAGGTCGCAATGGCCGAGTTCCCGTCGTGCTATTTTGTGAAGTGTTGCCTCTAAAAGCGACGGTTGTGTGAGTTTTTATGGAGTGTTGAAAGAAAAATCGCGAGGGTACGGCATATATTGGCATTGGTAGGTGTGAAAGAAGGGTGTTAATTAAGGCTTTGTGGGAGATATGAGCGGTCGAAAAAGGAAAGTCTATCGCCTTCGTTTTGTTTACATGGCATAACATGGCACAGTGATGTAAAGATTTAAAAGTGCCACGAGAAACAGGCGATGGTTAACGGTGATATTGGTGTTCTTTGATTGTTAGAGTGATGTATTTGTTCGTGGTATGGGTATGAGATCATGTACTTATGCATATAATGTCTGTATTTTATGGTTTTCTTGTCACAGATAGCTTTTAGACCTTGAGAGTGATATGTCAAGACTGATAAAGATTAAAGGAATTCCCGACTTTCATGCTTCCTGTTCTTTTAGAGTGTATTAAGGAAAGTGATGTAATGTAGTTTAGGATTGTTTTTTTTTATTTTTTATGGTATCACAACACTTTCTTTTTGTTATTTTTTAATTCCGTTATTCAGTATGATACTGTATGTTTTTTCATCATAGTTATGTTAGGTAATGATGAGTTTGAACTTGTAATTATTTACCAGAGGCTATTTTGTTCAGACAAACATTAAGGTTATAGGAGCAATATGTATCCATACATATTTATATCACATTTCAATGTAAATATACTTTCTACATTTAAAACAATTCTGTATATCACAATCTAATTTGAACCTCCTTTGACATTATTTCATGCCATACGCTTTTGTCTTCTAAGCTTTATGATTGCAATATGCTTTAAATTCTTTCAGCATCATATACTGTCTATGTATAAAGAATAAATATTGAGAAATTTTCATATGCATGTGTATATGGGAATCCCTAGGAGAGCAAGTAGAATTAAACAATAAAGAATTTTTTGGAAGATTTTATGAATGGTATCTTAAGGCAATAATATATATTATTGATATGCATATGAAAGTTTGCTTATTTAAATTAAAAAGAGTCCTTTTAAAAGATATTTTCCTTTAGATTAGGAGTCTCTAAAAAAAATAGTTTATGTAAGATAAAGCAAAAACAGAATGTTTGTCTTCAAACCGCCTTGACCAGAATATCCGTAACATGAAGGACGGCTGTCAGGTTTTTTTCTTACACCTCATTTTCATAAGTGTGCTAAACTATACAATGGTTTACAGTATTAGTATATGTAACGTTTGATTTTGCTTGTTTTATCAGAGAAATACTATTAATGAAATTTCAAATAACGAGTTTAATAGACAGTATGAAATTATGATAGAACAGAGTTGCATTTGGTAATTCATTAAAGTCATTATATTACATATTACTGGTGTACAGGAATAGAGGTGCTTTCTGTACTTATAAGGAAGTTTGCATGTATTAATTCTTTAAACTTTATCAATTATTATATATATTTACAATATGTCTGCTTTCCGTATTCATAACACTTTTATTTATCTTCATTATGAAACTGATATGCTATTATTATGATTATTATTGATATGTTAATTTTCTTGTTACTATTTGCCACAATCATTACAGTTGATGATTATTGTTGTTATTATCTATGTCATGATTATTGCTACTGTTATGATTAGGGTCATTATTAGTATTTTATTATTATTAATGTTATTATTATTATCTTTATTAATGTTATTATTATTATCATTATTTTTATTATTATTATTATTATTATTATTATTATTATTATTATTATTATTATTATTATTATTATTGATATTATTGTTATTGTTATCATGGTTATTGTTATAGTTATTGTTATTATCATTATTGTAGTTATAATTATTGTTTTGATATTAAATATCATCATTATTGTTATTACTGTTGTTACTATTATTATTTTTATTATTATTGTTGTAATTATTATTATTATGGTTT